ACTAGATACAGAACTATAATGAATTATAATGTTGCTCAAGAATCTTAATGAGTGTTTCAATGGGCTCAAAGTGAGCTTCAAGGGACTTAGTAAGACTTTCAAGGATCTTAGTAAAAATTACAAAGACATTAAAAAGGACCAGTCAAATATTAAGCATACACTAGCTGAAATGAAGAATGATTTACAGGGAATCAACTGTAACGTACAGGATGCTGAGAATCAAATCAACAATTTGGAATATGAGGATGCAAAAAAATACCCAATCAGAAGAGCAAAAAGAAATAAAAATCCAAAATTATGAAGATAATGCAAGGAGCCTCTGGGACAACTTCATGCATACCAACATTCACATTATGGGGGTGCCAGCAAGAGAAGATAGAGAGCAAGATATTGAAAACCTATTTGAAGCAATAGTGACAGAAAACTTCCCCTACTTGTTGAAAAAATAGACCTACAAGTCTAGGAAGTCCAGAGAGTCACAAACAAGAGGAATACAAAGAGGCTCACACCAAAACGCATCATAATTAAAATGCCAAGTCTTAAAGACAAAGAATATTAAAAGCAGCAAGATAAAAGCAGTTAGTTATGTACAAGGAAGCACTCATACTACTGTCAGCTGATTTCTCAAGAGAAACTTTGCAGGTCAGAAGAGAGTGGCAAGATATATTCAAAATGGTGAAAAGCAAGTTCCTACAACCAAGATTACTCTACCCAGCAAAGAACTGAAGGTCAGATAAAGAGCTTATCAGACAACAAAAAACTAAAAAATTCATCACCAACAAAGCAGTATAACATGAAATGTTGAAGGATTTTCTAGAAGAAGGAGGAGGAAGAGGAGGAGGAGGAGAAGGAGAAATATGAACAAATATGGCATTAATACATATCTATCAACAATTGAATCTAAAAACCAAATTAAATAAAAAAGAAATCTAATGACCAAAATAAACTGATGAATCAAATAGAACCAGAGGCATAGAAACATGTAACTGATGAATCTCATAGGCAATGGGGTGGTGGGGGGCGGGGAGAGATTAAGCAAAGGTCTTATATGCATGACCTATGGACACAGACAATAGGAAAGTGAAGGTCTGGAGTGAGGTGGGACCTGGGTGGAGGGGACAGTGGGAGAAAGGGGGGAATATCTGTAATACTATTAACCATAGAGATTTTTTTAAAACCTAAACAACAGCACTAGCCCAATGGTTCAGTTGGTTGGAGGGTTGTTCTGTACATGCATAACGGTTGCAGGACTGATCTCTGGTCCAGCGGACACAGTCGGACACCGCTTGATGTTTCTCCCTCACATTGAAGTTTCCCTCTCCCCCTCTCTCCTATCGCTCTCTCTATTTCCCATCTTGTCTCTATGAAAAAAAATCAATCAATATATCTTCGTGTGAGGTATTTAAAAACAGCACATATTTTAAATTTTTTATTAAAAAGTAAAATTAAATACATCTCATTAAAAGCAAATCAGCTTACACATAGCAGAGAGTAGGACTCAGGGTATGCTAAAGGACAGATCTGAGCATGCGCACTGAGGGAACCCAGAGTGGCCAACTGCGGCTGCGCTGAGCCGGGCCACCCTGCAGGCGGGAAAGTCCTTGTCGTTGTCTGCAGCCATCTTGAAAGACGCTCGGGGCTCCATCGCCCGGCCTGACTGACCTCTCCTCTCCAGCCCCAGCGACCACTGCCTCATCCTGACCCCGAGCGCCAGGTCGAGTTCCCCAACTGGTAAGGGTAGGCCAAGGTCCTCGGCCATTGAGCTGCCGTGTCCTCCTCAGGGCCCGAGCGCACAACCGCTCACTCGGAGCTGCCTTCTCCCTCGGGGTGGGCCCTGGACAATGAGGGGGAGGGGGCCACGGAGAAACACAGGGAGACTCCGCCGCTGGCCCAGCGGTCGGTCCCTGCTGTGCCCCCAGTAATACCCACGGTCCCGGGGCTGAGGGGCATGTAAAGCCTTTCGGCAGGTTCCTTCCGGCCCCGATGAAACCGAAACTGCCTTCGTCTGTGGGCCGCCATAACTGCTCCCCTCGGCAGCCGGACCTCCGCAGCCTGAGAGACCGACCCCGTTAGACACACGCCCGCGGGCCCTCACCAGACACCGGGCCGCGCCACCAGGGCTCCTTTCTTGCCTCCTAGCGATACGACGACAGTTGTTTCCTGTCCTTCCTTTGTTCTAACGTTATGTTTAAATTACCACCACACGCGGTAATCTTTGCACTGGTGTCCGGTTCACGGTGCAGGGACCCCATATTTCCAGCGCGCCCAGCCCCACACACAGTGTCCACTGCATTATTCCCCGTGTTCCCTGTGCCGTGCTTCACATCCCCGTGGCGGCTTTGCAGCGCCCACCCGTGCCGCTCGCTCCTTCACCCCCGTCCTCCTCCCCGTCCCCACCCTCCCGGGCCTTCTCCCTGCGGTTGGAGGGTCTGATCGAGGCTTCTATGGCTCTGGTTCTGCTTTTGTTCATCGGTTTATGATGGTCTTCATATTCCACAAATGAGTGAGATCCTGTGGTATTTATCTTTCTCTGCCTGGCTTATTTCGCTCAGCATAATGCTCTCCAGGTCTGTCCACGCTGTTGCAAATGGTAAGAATTCCTTCTTTTTTATCGCAGTGTAGTATTCCATCGTGTATGGACCACTGTTTTCTAATCCATTCATCTGCTGATGGGCACTTAGGCTGTTTCCAGATCTTAGCTATGGTGAATTGTGCTGCTATGAACATAGGGGTGCATATATCCTTTCTGATTGGTGTTTCTGTTTTCTTGGGATATATTCCTAGAAGTGGGATCACAGGGTCAAATGGGAGTTCCATGTTTTGTTTTTTGAGGAAACTCCATACTGTCTTCCATAGTGGCTGCACCAGTCTGCATTCCCACCAGCAGTGCACAAGTGTTCCTTTTTCTCCACATCCTCTCCAGCACTTGTCATTTGTTGATTTGTTGATGATAGCCAGTCTGACAGGTGTGAGATGGTACCTCATTGTTGTTTTGATTTGCATCTCTCGGATGATTAGTGACTTTGAGCATGTTTTCATATGTCTCTTGGCTTTCTGAATGTCCTCTTTTGAAAGGTGTCTATTTAGATCCTTTGCCCATTTTTTGATTGGATTGTTTATCTTCCTTTTGTTAAGTTGTATGAGTTCCCTATAAATTTTGGAGATTAGGCCCTTATCAGATATAATGTTGGCAAATATGTTCTCCCATGTAGTGGGCTTTCTTGTTGTTTTGTTGATGGTTTCTTTTGCTGTGCAGAAACTTTTTATTTTGATGTAGTCCCATTTGTTCATTTTCTCTTTAGTTTCAACTGCCCTAGGAGCTGTATCAGTGAAGAAATTGCTTTGGCATATGTCTGAGATTTTGTTGCCTTTGGATTCTTCTAGAATTTTTATGGTTTCCTGTCGTACATTTAAGTCCTTTATCCATTTTGAGTTTATTCTTGTGTATGGTGTAAGTTGGTGGTCTAGTTTCATTTTCTTGCATATATCTGTCCAATTTTCCCAACACCATTTATTGAAGAGACTATCTTGGCTCCATTGTATGTTCTTGCCTCCTTTGTCAAATATTAATTGAGCATATTGGTTCGGGCTAATTTCTGGACTCTCTATTCTATTCCACTGATCTATATGTCTGTTCTTGTGCCAGTACCAGGCAGTTTTGAGAACAGTGGCTTTGTAATACAGCTTGATATCTGGCATTGAGATCCCACCTACTTTGTTCTTTCTCAGGATCGCTGCAGCTATTCGGGGTCTTTTTTTATTCCAGATGAATTTTTGGAGAGTTCGTTCTAGATCTTTGAAGTAGGCCATTGGTATTTTAATGGGAAGTGCGTTGAATTTATAGATTGCTTTGGGTAGTATGGACATTTTAATGATGTTGATTCTACCAATCCAAGAACATGGTATGTTCTTCCATCTCTTTATGTCTTCCTCTATCTCTTTTTTCAACGTCCTGTAGTTTTCTGAGTAGAGGTCTTTTACCTCTTTAGTTAAGTTTATTCCTAGGTAGCTTAATTTTTTTGGTGCGATGGTAAATGGGATTGTTTTTATAATCTCTCTTTCTGAAAGTTCACTATTGGTGTATAGAAATGCCTCAGATTTCTTGGCATTAATAGTTTTCTGAATAGAGGTCTTTTACCTCTTTAGTTCAGTTTATTCCTCGGTATCTTAATTTATTTGGTGTGATGGTAAATGGGATTGCTTTTTTATTTTTATATACCTTTTATTTATTTTTTATTTATTTACTTTTCTTGTGTTTACAATTTTTAAAAATTCTTTATTGTTTTAGTGTTACATAAGTCTCCTTTCCCCCTATTGACCTCTCCCCGGCTGCTCCCACCCCCCAGCACATGCCCTCACCCCACTACTGTGTGTCTATTGGTTATGCTCATATGCATGTACACAAGTCCTTTGGTTGATCTCTTACTCCTCTCCCCTTCCCTGCCTTTACTCTTAGGTTAGATGGTCTGTTCGATGCTTCTATGTCTCTGGCTCATCAGTGTAAGTTGTTCATTATATTCCACAAATGAGTGATATCAGGGATTCCTTTTTTAGTCTCCCTTTCTGTAAGTTCACTGTTGGTGTATAGAAATGCCTCAGATTTCTTGGCATTAATTTTGTATCCTGCTACTTTGCCAAATTCATGTATTAAGTCTAGTAGCTTTTTGATGGAGTCTCTAGGGTTTTGTATGTATAATATCATGTCTCTTTTTGAGGAAACTGCACTGTTTTCCACAGAGGCTGCACCAGTCGGCATTCCCACCAGCTATGCAGTAGGGTTCCCTTTTCTCCGCATCCTCACCAGCACTTGTTTGTTGTGTTAGTGATTGTAGCCACTCTGGCAGGAGTGGGATGATAGCTCATTGTAGCAAAAGCAGAATCTAAATTCCTGGTGACACTGAGTTTGACCCTGCCTCAGGGCTTTATCCCCACAGGCCCTTAGTCTGGGTGACCTCAGAGACTCACTTGTATCCCTTCAAGATCACTGCACTCCCAGAGGCATGAACAAAGACAGCTCCTTGGATAACAACCCCATGGAGGACTCTCAGGATTCAGAGGAGACATGCGAGGTGAGGAGCCTGGGGGGTCTCAAGAAGTGACTGGGGCACAGGACAGGGTGACCACATGTCTGAGGTCATGAAGTCAGAGGAGTAGGGAGTAGGGTGTGGGCCGGGGGAGATCCGAGTCTCAGGAGCTTCCCACCGTCACTCAGAACTTGCCTAGCATCCCTGAAGGAAACAAGGCCTGTGACCTTGGCTGCACTTGGTGACTCACGGTCCATTCTGGAAGGTGAGAGGACAGCCCACCAGCAGCATGAAGCACCTGCTGCAAGCAGGGGAGAGGCTGAGCCATGTTTCCCTTGTTCTGTCAGTTCACTGTGACATCAACCAGGAGGAACTGTTAGCTCCAGTGTACAAGTCCAACACAGGTTCTGCAGCGCAGGAAGAGGGCAGGCCAAAGGGCAAACATGTTTACCTGAGCGGCTGCAGGGATTCATTTATTTCTTCTTTTCCTAGATGTTCAAGGATGTTCCCAAATGCTTGTCTGAGGAAGAGTGGACAAAACTGGAAAATGCAGATGAATTAAGCTATGTGTACATGAAGAAAAGATACGACTTCATGACTGCTCTAGGTAACAGGCTGACCTGGGAACACAAGACCATCCCTCTTTCCCTTTACATATCGTGGCTCCTTCTTTGGCTCAACTAAATTTACCCCATTTCGTTTGTGCGGGGAGAATTCCCTGAGCAGCTTCAGAACCTTCTTTTCTATTGTATCCTGAACAGGGCTCAAGGCCAGGAGTGGCCACAGAGATGCTCAGACCTGGATCCTGCACTTTTCACTCCCACTGGCCCTTGTTCGCATCCCTCCACCTCCTGACCTTTCCTGTCCCTGCTGCCTCCCTGCATCCACCCTCCTCTCAGGTTGTCTCTTAAGCAACAACTATTTTGCTTCTCCTAGGTCTCATGCCCATCGGCCCAAATTTCATCCCTCCGACTAAACAAACCCCAAAATCTCCTGAGCATGATTCAGATGAAACTCAGAATCCTGGGAATCATGGTGAGTGACAGGAAAGTCCTGGAAATTATTATCCCTGAAGCCAAATTTATTCGGGGTTCAGCAGCTCAGAAAAGATTCTCAGGGGTTTCTTGCCTAAACGGATCACTGGCAAGTAAAGAATGTTGGATGCAGAAGGTTAAGTACAGTCAGTTCAGTGGTGATTCGTATAAAATCCTAAGACTTGCAAAAGAACAATATGTTTTTATAGATAATAGGTCAATGGTAAATGTTTCAAAACCTGAATGTGAATAAAACTCATCAAATTCGGGAGTCAAGAAGTGCAGAAGTAGGAACGGCAGAGATCAGTGAGGGCTGCACGGATGCCGTCAGCTGTGACGTGTTCCCAGTGTTTTGTTGTGTTTTGGATGAAGGATCTCAGAACCCTGTGAAGCGGATGTGCACTAGTGTTGTGATCTGACTAGACACCGTGGGAGATGGGCACATGTTTCTCACAAAGTCCTCAGTAGTTTTCTGGAGTTTGAAACATTTCTTTCTTTATTTTTTTTTCATTGTAATTACAATTTAATGAGCATACAATATGTCAGAACTTGTGAAGCTAGACAATTCAAATATGTAGTTTATTAATTATAACTCTATAAAGTTATTAAATTATATTTTTTAATTATTCCCTTTATCAATTAAGATATTACAAATGTGTCCTTATCCCCCAATGTCCTGAAACATTTCTTTATTTAAAAGAGTTAATATTCTTGCCGAACACCGTCATGAGCCACAGGAAAATTAAGAAAATTTTGACTAAAGTCTAAATACTCAAAAAACCTCCCAATTCAATTTTAGAACAACATTGGGATAGCTTAAGATAAACACCTTAAGAGACAAAAAAAATGATTAAAGTACTTTGTAATGACACTCACCTATTTCCTGAGCTTTACCAAACAGAATGGTCTTCTCACTTCTAACAGAACCGGATTCTATATATTGATTTGGGAGCGTTCAAAATAGCAATGCCACACACACACTGATGTTTCCTAGTGGTCAGTGGGCAGAGGCCACAGGGGGTGAAAGAAGCCACACATTCAAAAAAGCTCGGCCTATGTGAGCAGTGTCTTTACTCACTGCGAAGAGGGTGGATATGTTCACTTGCTCTTCTGCGTGGACAGCAGAGTTGCAAGAAGACCGGGTCAGAATGCTCACACCGTCTCCAATAAACCTAGGACAACCACCTCCACAGGCCCTATTCCACGAGCACACAAGATCAATGTCAGGGGGCTGAAAATCCAGTACACAGTTTTTGACATTAGAGGAGGCTTTTTATAGTGGAAGCCTTGCAGAACCGCTGCGCTAAATCATACCTGGGTCATCACACAATGAACGACTTCATTCAGGTATAATTGGCATACTATAAAATTCACCCGTTTTGAGTATACAGTGAATTCTAGTTGCCACACATCGTTAAGTGGAGACAGCTCAATTTCCCAACAAATCAATTTAATTCTTTGGGGGGAAATGTAAGATGTATGTCATGGAATAGGATGAGACAGTGGTGGAGTTTAGTTCAAGTTTTCTAAACCATCAGAGAGAATGTTATGAATTAATCCTATGCACAAATGTACAATCTATAGTAACGATCATCAGAAACCAGTCCCAAATAACCCCTGATGGTGAGTGCATTGATGCCATCTGCTGCAGATTTCCCTGATACTTCAGGAGTCTTCCAGGATGTGGGGAACGTTTACCAACAAAGACCATCTCTGCTTTATCACCTATTTACGAACAAAAGTCCTGAGGAGGCTTCGCACGTCCAACCAAAAAAACACCTGAAGGTATCTCTCGAATCTGAAGGTCCTTGCTCGCTACACTGCTGTAAATATGGTATGAGTAGAATAGTGTGACAGCCGGTATGTCTTTCATCTTCATAGTGATGCCGGATGTTATTTTAAGCACTTTAGATGGATTCAGTTACTTAAGTCGTAAGAAACCATTTATCACTAGTGTTACTACTATTATATACAAAATAATTGTGTGGATATTAATAACAATGATAGCACATAATAATGATAATAATGAAGAGACTGGTTTGCAGAGATACTTCATAATTTCCCAGAGACCACAGAGGCAGTGACAGTAGTACAATCCAAAGCCCCAGCCCATTCCTAAGCTCCTAAAGGTTTTCATATGTTTATGAAGTTCCCATTGTCTTCATAGGGGTTTTTCACCTGCCCCCCCCTCCTCCCCA